GCCATGTGCGGAACTCTTCTGACCTTACACTCGCTCTGTCGATCTTGCTTTATGCCTCACCCATCCAAAATCAACTCGACCACTCCAAGTGCTTCTTTAGATAATAGTGGGTCTCGCGACAGAAAAACAAACACTAGGATTGGCAGACAGCATTCAAACAAAAACATCCGCGAACGTTTTGAAATATGTTTATGGTATCAAATGTATCACCTATCGTCCCGCTGATCATCAATTTCATCGAATAGCTCAGTGAGGTCTTCAACCGCCTCTTTCGTGAGCCACTGTTGTAGAGCATACCGCTCATGAGAGACGAATCATAACAATCCTGTCGGGTCAAAAGAAAAGCAAATTTCCCGTGAAGGAGTCTGACCATTGTTCATTTGACGTTTGGAGAGTTCTAATCAGAAATCGCACTGGTCCAACGGTCTTTTTCATCATGTTTATGTGTACATATGTGGTGTTTATATTACTAGAATTCGATTCCAAAGCTTGAGTGATTCTGGTCAAATAACTCTTGATATGTTGCACTATTCCTAACTACGTACCCATCGCACAAGTACCTTAGCTTCTAGCATTCATATGTTGTCCAGACGCGCAGTGCTCTCCATTCAATCCCTACTTTGCTATACTTGACAGAATTGCGAGCAAAATTTAAAACACACATTTTTTGCCGTAGTTTACCTTACGCAGAAGTTCTTTCTTGACGACTATCAGTACGACAATAGTGTGAAAACGTATAGCATTTCAGCCTTTGGCTCCAAACTTGGCTTGGGGATACTTCTGAACAGCTTCCTTTACCGATGGCGACCTGTACTCTTCCCGCTATAGTTCTATGCTTCTGCTAAAGATTTATTGAATGTAGGCAAATGAATCATAGGATGAGGCAATAAATAGGCATTAATAAATTTTAGGACTCCTTATCTTATTTATTTGCTTCCTCCTCCCTCATTTATCTGGGAATTTTTTGGTTTCGCCCTTTACCAAGTAGTAAAGTCTGAAAATTCTACATCTAGGAACAGTTTCAAGAGAACTAAAATAGTAGCCGGTCAACTTCAATGCAAGATAATCTAACTGTGCTGTTGCCTGCTCGCATGGAAATCCACTCGATATATGACTGTGTCCATAATTTCGTATATGATACGCAGTGGCAACAGCAACTACTTCCACAGACTTCTTGCTTTCTTCTGACTTGCAATCTTTTTCGATACTTGATTTTGACCCTATCCTTTTTTCACAGCATCCAACACTACATATATGACTGCAAACCAGCAACATCCACGTAACCAATGGAGAGTGTTTGTTGCGATAGCAGACTTTGCTAAAAGCAAAGTTAGGGACGTCTAAAGCTATTCGCGCTTTGTGGGCGCTTTTCTCCTTTACTGTGTACGGCATTAACGCACGCACACTTTGAAGATGGCGAAAAGTATATTAATCCTAGAAGGGCGAAGGTCTGTATTTTCAATTATTTTGAGTTCGAGCTCCTTGGGATATTTGGAGCATGATCAAACTGCAGGTTAACAGTGATGAATATTCGCATTACACCCATGCTACACATATTGAAATTTCTCATGGTTAGATAATGAAGGAATGGAGTTAGAACTGAAAAATACGAATGAAGAAGCATTTGCGCGAAGGCTTTTGAACGCCACTGTATACGCCAACCAACGCTTTTGATTGTCGATAAAGAGAAGCGCGTATTGCTCTAGGATGACAGCCCCTAACTTTCAATCATCGGTCCTCTGCTTTTCAGAAGTAAAAGTTTTGAATGATGAATAATGCGGCTTCATTTCAGCATCTCCGAGAATAGCTTTAGCCATGACACAAATTTCTTCCAAAAATAGCCTCCACATGCCTCGTAATAATTGCTCAACGAGCAGCAGTAAGTTTTGCGATGCTATCACTTTTCGTTGGCTCTATTTTTACTGAATGCCTATAGAATGGCTCATAAAAAGAGATACCAATGACTCGTATGAAGTAAGCATACGAAGAAGGCTTGCTATTAGGTATACTATATAGTATAATTATGTTGTTACAGTATTGTTGCTTTTTTTCAAAGTATTTCATTTCTCTTCTGAAGGCAAGTACATGGGACATCAAGCCAACGAAAACTATGCAAACAAGCGACTACCCACGGCACCTTGTTGCTTTTTTTAAATTGGTTTTTCGTCGAGGATTAGAAGCCGTGGCGTCTTTCTCAATAAGCACCTCTTCTTCCTAGATTCTGTATTCCAAAAGCACTTCAAATCCTTGAAAAGCACTCGTGTATAATGCTCAAATTGACGTTTTGCTTATTCTCTAATTTCCCTTTTGACTGAATTCCATAAGAAAGAAATTCCATCATCTTTTGCTCGCTGTCTCAATGAGGGTATCATAGCGACCAAGCTTCCCTTTAGTTGTAACGGTAGTAAAGGATATTGTTAAGGAGAGATCGATCCAAAAGTATATTGTTCATCGAAAAGCACCGATTTTGGTAGCTTTCCCAAAATGTTTACTTTTTATTGAAAATATGATCAAACAGGTAATCACAACAACGAATCCTTGAAATAGACAATATACCCGAGGTACAGAATCACTTAGATCTCGCATGATATGATAAAAGGTTATAAGCAGAAATCCTAGAAAGATGATGCGAATGACAAAAAGCCAAATACAGATATAGAGAAAGTGAGGATTTTCCGGAGTATCAACGAGGAGAAACATCGAGCAGCATGTTAAGCACCGCTCCTCATGTGTACATAATACGCATTTCCAGAGGAACAGTTGTTGGTGTATTCTCATAGAGTAACTCAGCTAAGATACGAATAATAAGGAAAGAGGATTGCAATTATTTACCGTAAAGATTGTTAAAAAGGGGATAGCCACAGGATGCATGAAAATTTCCGCGTACCACTCGTTTTTGTTGAGTTTTTCTCATTGAATTTGCCAAGTGAAGAATTGAAAAAAAGTACAAGATAGACTATTCCAAAAAAAATTTTTTTAACAAGATGATAGTGTGAAACAGTTGCACAAAATGGTACCGGCGTAGCCTTCATGCACCGGGTGGCTGGTTTCGAAGTCGCGGTGTGTGAGTAAGACCAATTCTCGACAATAATGACCCAGGTTATCAAGGTGAAGAAAGGCAAGATTAATTGATATGTGTTGAGTAGTGATCTATGATGACTAGAAATAGTATGTGCAGAACAATGGTAACATAGTAGGAAAATGGCGATTTGTATCATATCATCGCTTCCCTCATCGTAACCGATTTAGACGAATCGTAACTGATTGTGGATTTGGACCACGCGAATCTTCAGGTAAATCGGAGACGATCGTCCGTGTTCGCGATCGTGTACGATTGAGATGCCACAGGAATCCTTTTCTGAATCAGATGGAGGTCCCTTGTGATGGAAATGTTTGAAGCAAAGTGGAGCATGCAAACAGAAATATATGCAATCATAAGGCAGAAAGCAGGGTGGAGCACACTTATTCTCATGGTAACTAGATTACTATTTATGCTCGAACTGTTTTTTTTTTGCATAAAGCGAGGATTTTCGGCCTTTGTTCAATGGTCGATCTTGCTAAAGAGGACTCAGAGAAGCTAGAACACTAATATAGAGTGAATTCACCTGATCTGGTAGAACTTTTCTTTGGAAAACGTTCCTTCACCCAGATGCAATGAGGCATTACTCACAGGTGTGGGGCGACACCGATGAAATTCAGGTTGGGCTCTGAAAGCCAAGCATAAGCTTGTGCTTGATGCTTAGATTGTGCTTTCCTCCCTGACTAAACGCCGTATTGCTTTTATTTGAAAAAATTTCTCGTGCGCGACAAAGCCTCAGGGTATTCTGCACAAAAAATGTTGCAATTTAGACGATCCTGCAAGCAATTTGGTTTACTATTATACTTTACATTGAAAATCGAAATCTGAAAAGACCTGATCTGGAAAATCGGATCGATATTTCTGTCTCATTCATTATGCCCTCGAAATTCATTGGATCACCCGATTTGATTGTTAAAGGTCGACCTTAGTAAACCTTCTGCATCTCAGTAGGACAAAGAATATAGTCCTTCGGGGTTAATCAATCCCGCTTGAGGAGTGCACCTTCATAATCGGCTTTCATTCAGAATCGCACTGGCGTACTGAATGCGTATGTGGCCTATACAATGACTTACGGTGGCATGCCGATGTTCAAGTCAGCGCTTATAGCCTCCCAGAGGAGCGTGGTACCAGTCAGTCGACCCCAGAGGCATCGAAGTCTTGATAGGCCTAGGAGAGTTTCAATCCAAGATCTAGACCTAACCGTGCATGCGTGATTTTGCGAAACTTGCCATTACACCACGTCCGCCTCTTACGGTTAGTACTTCGGTACTAATTGTTTATTCGTTAAAAGTTGTACTTCTTCGGTTCACTAAATGCTGGGAAAGCTGTAGCACTGGAGCACGACCACATCGAGAAAAATGAGCGTACAAAATATTGAATACCCACTTGCAATAGAAAATGTCACTGGCTGCTTCTCGGAAACGCTTTGAAAGAAACGCGTAGAGAATCGGGTTGATTGTACTTGAGAGAAACAAAAAGATGTAGCTGAGCGGTTGTAACAAAATCGACCAGTCATTGTTGCACTGCGGCGTTGTTGACCACATCTGAAGAACTACCTTTTACCTTGTTTTTATTGCAAGTTAGTCAGCCGTTTGTTAACTAGAGCAAAAATAGGATTTTTCCAACAAAGGTCGACTCAAACGTGAAACTGGGAACGGAAGTTGAAAAGGTTCGAACAGTATGAAAAGCCTAGTTGTTCCCGAACAATGGGATGTTCCCTACAAGCATATCTTTCCCAAGCTCTTCTATTTACTGAATAATCTGTTCCATCTCAAACAGTTACCGTATGGAGCAGCCTGGCATGATGAGGTAGCGTCAAAATAGCAAACGAGGCGACGAGTACAATTAAGAGGCGCACCACCTGTAAATGATATTTATTAATTGGTACTGATACCGAATGTTCTTATGACTGATTATAACTTCGAAAAAAAATATGAAATCAGTTCTAAAAACTTAGGTCACTTAAGTTCGGTGCATCAAAACTCAAGTGGTATATACAGTAATATATGTAATAGAAGTCCGGTTTCCATTGTCATCTTCAAGCAGACTTGTGGGGAACCACACATAAAGCTTTCAGATAACTTTTACCTTACCTATCACGGCGAAGACAAACTTGAAGTATTGAGCACCACTATTTCGCTTGGTTGAGAAGCTACACATTAGCATATAGCATGCAAAAGAGATGCAGTTCTAGTATTTCGAGACGAAAAAAAAATTTGAACCAAACAAAGCTCAAGCAAATTCAGTGCGGTAGCGGTGAAATTCTACAGTGCTGCATTGGTCAGGTCAGCTTTTTGTTGTCACGCTTGTTGCGATGAAGGGTTGAGCTTCGCTCTGTGCAGTATAAGCGCCGCTGTTGAACTACTATACATCCCTAATTAAGCCCAAAGGAAAAATCTTTTAGCGCTAGTTGAGCTCGTTCCGTGTTTCACATTGAGCTCGTTTCAAGGTTCACCCTCAATCATCCCCTTGCTTTCGACGTACACTAAGGATCATATTAGGAGTATGTGACATATGCAATGACTTGCGGTGCCCAGTCAATGGAAAATTCAGTGTTTTTATCATCACACAGAGTCAGATACCAATTCAGGAACCGCTATAGATGAAAGCTCGATTGGTCTAAGCCAATGGGGTTGGTACAATGGACATTGCAGCGATATATTCCCTCACTACACTGCCTCGGAAAGAATACATTCAAAATACAAAAAGGAATTGGTGTTGGATGTGGAAAAGCAAGGACTGCAAAAGTAAGAATTTTGTGGGAGGTCCTTCAGGAACCAAATCAGCAAGCAAAAAATGGCGAGAAGTGCATTTTGAGTCTCCCAGTCTACCTCTGAGAAAACAGAGAAAGCATCGAGCAAATTTCCTTAGTTCAACAAAAAGGCGAAGAGAAACTGGAAACTCTGTTCGTTTTACTCCTGTTTGTACCCATCGCTAAGGGGAACAGGGAGAAACGTTCAAGGGTTGTTAGAAAGCGTCATGTAGTTAGATTGTTTCAAGTGTCAATTAAACATAGCAAAGGAGTGATCATGCGTGGTGCGATGACGACACAACAACGAACCCATGCAGGAGTGGCGCTGTCAATGTAGCGCAGTGCAGGTGGGCTGTACTGCACCTTTCTGCGGCTTTCGGTCAGATCTCTCTGACGTTTCTTCACTTGTGGATCGTCGGGCACCTGAAGTAGTGAGTCTTGCTTGTAGACGGCGGTTCGTCCATTCGACATCTGCCAAGTTCCTCCCACCGGGACGCTGTTTTGCGAATCTAAACACATTATCGAAATAGATTTCACTGAAAAATCATCATGAGGTGGAAATTATATGGGGATTTCCGTGATGTCAGTATAACGAATGTAGCAACTATGGAACAACTGAAAAGAACTGATAGGCTGTACAACTTGATTGCTTTGACTCTTCTTGTATGCCCTCAAATTAGATGGTGTGCGGGACACCTCCCACAAACAAAATTGAGAGCTCGCCAAAATTTGAAGCTGTGGTGTCAATCTAATACAGTGCGATGATAATGATAACCCC